GTTACGTTGCCGTTGGTGTACCATTTCCGTTACCATTACCGTTGGTGTATCCATTTCCGTTACCATTCCGTTGCCGTTGGTGTATCCATTTCCGTTACCATTACCGTTGGTGTAGCCATTTCCGTTACCATTACCATTGCCATTACTGTAACCATTTCCATTACCGTTGGTGTAACCGTTGCCATTCGTGTACCCATTTCCGTTGATATTACCAATCTCAGCATTCAATCCGTAGAACTGTTCAGCCGTGGAACAGTCAAAGTTGTACCACCAATCGCACACGAAGTATTGCTGATTAAACACTGTGCCGTTGGGACAAAGGAACGAGTCGATCCTGCCTCCTGCCTGACAGATGTGGAACACCTGAAATGCATCACAGGAAATATTTTTTATGTCTATAAATCTAAAAGTGGTTTTATAAATCTATTTCAACAGAATTAAGAAGAACGAAATATTATGTATATGTATTATGTTTTCTTTTAATTAATGAAATGAAATTATTAGTAATTGTGAAAATGTCTGGAGGGTCAGTATACTTTAAATGGCGTTGGTAATTATGGAGAATCAAATATTAATAATTACCCACACAAATACATTAGATTGATAAATAACAGACGATAATCCCATCTGATATTTATCCCCCCCCCCTTTATTTTTAGAGGACTTTTCACTCACCTGGCAGCCGGCCTCGGGAGCAGTGTCGGCGTAATATCCAGGCAGTTGGCCGTTGCAGGAGAAGCCGGTGGCGGGGACGAAGGCCAGGATGGGGTAGTCCACACCTGGGACGCCTCCGCCGCCAATGGCATCGGCCAGAGCTCGGAAGGGATCCACAACGCCATTGGCGTACACGGTCACTCCATTTCCGTTCTGATATCCTCCGTTCACACCGTTTCCATTAGTATATACCCCATTGCCATTTGCACCATTTCCATTCCCATTTCTACCATTTCCATTTGTATATACACCGTTCCCGTTCCCGTTTCTGTAAACTCCGTTACCATTTACACCATTAGCATATCCATTGCCATTTGCGCCATTAGTATATCCATTGCCATTCACGCCATTAGTAGCCATTCCATTGCCATTCACGCCATTAGTATATCCATTGCCATTAGTATATCCATTGCCATTGCCTATCCCATTCCCATTTCCATTTACAGGTGACAAGTAACTTGCTTGTGCTAAACATATTCCAACGATAACTGGAAAAACGAAATAAAGATTAGCATTAGTGATAAACAAGTATAAACGTAAAAATATGTATGCTTTAAGCTTTCACGCACAATATATACTACGAAACATTTCTTACTGAGTAACGAAACAGGTGACGTATCGAGTGCCATTTCAAAAGGTGCCCGAGTCTCTTTCTATAAATGAAAAGGAATGAACAGAGTTGTCGAAGAGAGAAGCGAGACGTGGAAGCGCACTGACGACTGTGCTTGGAGCCCCGCTTTATATAGCTGCTCGTCCCTCTCTTCCGGAAGCTCAGGTTAAGGTCAGGATGCTTGCAATCACTTAACAAGCATCATTAGTGCCTGATCTGAATCGGTCTTCTGATACTATAATATGCGATGCCGTAGACTTATATATATATATATATATATATATATATATATATATATATATATATATATATATATATATATATATATATATATATACATATATGTATATATATTATATATATATATATATATATATATATATATATATATATAATTTCTCACATGCATTTATATAGATGATATATGGATAGATAAAGAGACATATGCACAAATATGTAAATGCTGTATACAAATGCACATGCATGCATATCTGATATGTTTGATTATGCATATATATATATATATATATATATATATATATATATATATATATATATATATATATATATATATATATATTATATATAATATAAATATATATTATACACGAATATATATACATATGATATATATAGATATGTATATATACATATACATATGCATATATATGTGCATATACATACATATATACACATCCATGTATGTGTGTATATTTATATGTATAAATATATATATATATATATATATGCATGTATGATTGTATGTATATTGTATTATCATCATCCCTTGGATTCTTCGGCCATTTCTAATATTTAAGAGTTTTCTTGGCTTTGCACTCATTGTCTCTAAGTAAAGCTTCAAAATTTCGTTACTCATTTATGCCTTTTTATCACTGGTCTAGCCCTTGGCCTTTTTGTGTACTATTCTTGTTAGCATCCACGCTAATCGGCGGAAAACGGTGAATGAAATGCGTGGAAAGTTGGGTGTGGGTGTTAGTACACTGGATACCTTGTTGTCATCCAACTCTGCACGCATTTCATTCACCGTTATCCGCCGATTAGTTGATCGAGGTGCACTTCATTTTCCGGAGTGGTGGCCGTGCAAGCGTCCGGAGCGCGATGTGTCACTCCATCTCCGTCGCCACTCCGGAATCGACGAAGCCATCTCCTGACTGC